CACACACACACACACACACACACACATCATTCCATTTAAAAAATAGGCAAAACTAAACATTGGTGTTAGAATGCACAACAGGATACTAGTGGGGATCCTGCAGTGGGAAGAGTAGTGAAGTAAAGGGGATTTAGGCCATCTACAGTTCATAGTGATGTTCTATTTATTTTTTAAAAATATATTTTTATTGATTTCAGAGAGGAAGGGAGAGAAAGAAAGAGATAGAAACATCAATAAGAGATTCATTGATCGGCTGCCTCCTGCACACCCCCTACTGGGGATCAAGCTCGCAACCCAGGCATGTGCCTTGACTGGAATTGAACCTGGAACCCTTCAGTCTGCAGGCCAATGCTCTATCCACTGAGCAAAACCAGCTAGGGCTATTTCTTGATCTTGATGCTGAATTACCAATCTTTTCACTTTGTAAAAATTTATCAAGTTGTGATAAATTTTCTTGTGTACTTTTCTCAATGCATGCATACATTAATTAAAAGTTTTCTTAAAAATAAAGACATAGCATAATCTCATTTTTGTGTTTTTAAAACTTTATTACTGAAAGTATTACATATGTCCCCTTCATTTAGTGTGGGTTTTTTTTTTAAATACTGTATGTGTGCATTTAAAAAAATGTCTAGGAAAGATTAGTACAAAAATGTTTACATTACTTCTGGAAGGTGAGAGGGTACTAAAAGATAACTTGAGCTTCTTCCCATACTTCTATATACATTTATTAAAATAATAAGCAAGTTTTATTCTAGTAATAAAAGTTAACAGAAAAACTACATTTTATTTAATGATTACAAACATTTTTTTCATCAAAAATGTCCTTTTACTATCCTATTCCATCATTAGATTGGAAAGAGTATAGTTAAGTTTCTTAACTTTCTCAAAATTCAAAAAAACCCCACAAAACTTGTCTGCAAAGATTCCCCTAGTATAAGTCAAGTTAGCATAAGAAGAATGGGAATTAATTATTCTGAAAGAGTAGAATTTAAATGAATCATTAAGAAATATTCTCATTTATGCTCCTACCTTATTGTTTAAATCAATTTTCTTGATTTATAATTTAAATATAATAAAATGCATAGATTTTAACTGTATAGCCCAAAGAGTTTGGCAAGTGTATATACTCATATAACCAGCCTCCAACGTAAAAGGATTGAAAAATTAAAAAACATTATATATATATATAATATATATATATAATATATATATATATATACACACACACACACACACACACACACACACACACACACTGAGTGACCAGATTATTATGACCACCTGACATTTGTAGGCAAAGTAGCTATAATTTCGCACTGAAGTTGCTAGAGTGCCAGACCATTATAAATAGGGAAGCAGGTTGTTTACCACAACAGTAGAAGTGATTTTTTTCTGAAGATATGGGTAAACAACACGATTTAACAGCCTTTGAATGTGGGATATATGTGTGTGTGTGTGTGTGTGTGTGTGTGTGTGTGTGTACTGAGTGGCCAGATTATTATGACCACCTCATCAGTACTTCATTGGGCCGCCTTTGCCTTCAATACTGTGGCGATTCTTCTTGGCATTGACTCCACGAGATGTTGAAAGGTGATGCAAGGAATCTGACACCATGCCTGATGAATAGCACTGTCCAATCTGTGAGATTCGATGGTTGTGGAACCAGCTGCCTGATGGCTCTTTTAACTTCGTCCCACAAATGCTCAATTGGATTGAGATCTGGTGATTGTGGGGGCCACCTAAGCAAGGTAAAGTCTCCCTCACGTTCTTGAAACCACTCCTGCACAATATGAGCACCGTGGCATGGCACATTGTCTTGTTGGAAGAAGCCATCTCCATTAGGATATGCCATCAACATGATAGAATGAACTTGATCAGCACAATACTTAGGTATGTTGTGCTATTCAGACGTTGTTCCACATGAATTAAAGGGCCCAAATCATTCCAGGAAAACATGCCCCAAACCCGTGGTCGGCAAACTGTGGCTCGCGAGCCACATGCGGCTCTTTGGCCCCTTGAGTGTGGCTCTTCCACAAAATACCACGTGCGGGCGCGCATACAGTGCAATTGAAACTTCGTGGCCCATACACAGAAGTCAGTTTTCGGCCTGGGCGAGTCTATTTTGAAGAAGTACTGTTGATATTTGGCTCTGTTGACTAAGGAGTTTGCTGACCACTGCCCCAAACCATAACACTGCCCCCACCAGCTTGAAGGGTTGTACTCATGCATGTGGGGTGCATGCTTTCATGCTGTTTCTGCCAAATTCTCACTCTGCCATCTGCATGATGCAACTGAAAACGTGATTCATCAGACCACATGACTTTTTTCCAATGCTTGACTGTCCAATGCTTGTGTTCCTGTGTGAACTGGAGACGTTTTATCTTGGTAACTGCAGACAGCAAAGGTGTTTGAACAGGCCTTCAGCTTCCATATCCCATACAATGCAGTGTATGGCTAATCTGCCTACAAACATCAGGTGGTCATAATAATCTGGCCACTCAGTGAGTGTGTGTGTGTGTGTGTGTATATATATATAGATATGTATCTATATATATATATATATATATTAAATTGCGTTGTTTACCCATATCTTCAGAAAAAATCACTTCTACTGTCGTGGTAAACAACCTGCTTCCCTATTTATAATGGTCTAGCCCTCTAGCAACTTCATTGCAAAATTACAGCTAATTTGCCTACAAATGTCAGGTGGTCATAATAAAATCTGGCCACTCAGTGTGTGTGTGTGTGTGTGTGTGTGTGTGTGTGTGTGTGTATTCACTTGGAGGAGTTGGTTCTTTTATCTTTCTATGCTATGCCTTTTATATATAATTTAGAGTTCAGGAACGCTGTGTTTATACTTTAAGTAGCATTCAGAAAATATTAAATTTTTTTTCCTTGAGGAAGTATTTTTGAAAAGTAAATACGAATTCGAGGCTGGGATAAAAGTAACTAAAATAACTTACCTTGTTTTCTCTTGAACAGATCCCAGAGATGAGTATAACACTCTTTCATTTAGTTCATGTCTGTAGAAAGACAGGTACATCTTATCTGCATTGTCATTTCTACTGATATGATCTCTTTCAACTTGTAAAAGAAATCTTAGTATTATGCATAGAATATTTTATTTTTACTATTTGGAATGTGTTTATTTACTATTTTAATAAAAATGGGTTTTCCTTAACCTTAGGTTACCATAATGATAATGTATTGGTTTTAAACATAGGAGATTACTGAGTACATATATGAGGGTTTATTTAAAATGGTCTGTTCAAATAATCTATTGATTTTATATGAATTTTTAAAAATATATAGAATGACTGCATTTGTCACTCATTCAGTTATCCAAATACTAGACCTCTTTGCTAACCTTTTAAACTACTATGTGCAAATGGAATTTTTATTATTCCTATTTTATAGATGAGTAAACAGAACTAGCAAGACTAAGTAAATAACATAAAAGTATATGACAGGAAAAGAAATGGAGAATGCTGTCAAAAAGAGTTCAAAATGTAGACAGGCTATAATGCTTCATTAAAGATTTTAGAATCCAGCCCTAACCAGTTTGGCTCAGTGGATGGAGAATCTGCCTGCAGACTGAAGGGTCCCCAGTTCCATTCCAGTCAAGGGCATGTACCTGGTTGCAGGCTCCTGGCCCTGGTAGGAGGCAACCAAATGATGTATCTTTCTCACGTCAGTATTTATCTCTGTCTCTTCCTCCCCCTTCCACTCTCTCTAAAAATCAATGGAAGATATCTTCTGATGAGGTTTAAAAAAAATTAGAATCCACATGTAGTTCTGAATTGGGGAATTAAAGTCAGAATAGAGACCTTGGAAAATTAATCTGTCCTGTTAGAGCTCTCCAGACTTCTTCCACCTGAGTTCACAGGAAAATTCCAGGATTTCTTGGTCCATGCTGTTTTAAACCATCTCATCCTCACAAGGTTAGATTATATACACTCTCTCCAAGGCTGGTTAGCCTATAACTATTTTTTTCTGATTTAAAAATACTGTAGTCCCCCCTTATCGGCAGCAGATATGTTCCAAGACCCCCCCAGTAGATGTCTGAAACCACAGATACTACCACACCCAACATATTGTTTATCCTATGTATACATACCTATGATAAAATTTATTTTATAAATTAGACACAGGAAAAGATTAACAACTAATTAAAAAAGTATAACAATATATTGTAATGAGTTATGTAAATGCGGTCTCTCTCTCAAAATATCCTATTGCACTGCACTCACCCTTCTGGCGATGTTAGCCGACACAATGCCTACGTGAGGATTTGACGTGAGGTAAATGACGTAGCGTGGTGACGTAGACGTGGTGACGTAGACGTGATGACGTAGACGTGATGACGTAGACGTGGTGATGCAGCGTTAGGTGACTATTGGCCTTCTGAAGATTCATCAGGCTGATCATGAAGCCATGACAGACTATGTCTTGTCTTCTACTCATAAATTTAATACCTTTCCCATCTTAAATAATTACTTATCATGCACTGTGGCCGTGTTTTTTGCAGTTTGAGCTGCAGCAGCAAAACTAGCATGAATTTCTTTTTCCTTCTTCACAACTTCACCGGAAGAAGACTCTGTTCTCACCGTAGAACTTAACAATCTGAGTATAGGTCGTTTTTTTCTTAAGAACTTCCACTTTTTTTTTCTTAACGGAAGCACTTTGTGGCTTCTCTTTGTCATTTTCCAATTGCCAGCATCACTATAGCCTGGCCAGCTGCTGTGTGGATAAAGAAAGCGATGGTTCTCGTCCAGGGTGGGACTGAGCAGGATATCGCGGGATTTCAGCACGCTATGCAAAAGAACTCGCAATTTAATGAATTGTTTATTTTTGGAATTATCTAGCTAATATTTTCAGACCTTGGTTGACCACTGATAACTGCAACAACAGAAAGTAAATCCGAAGCTAAACCATATTGGGGGAGGGCAGGGCATGGAGCTATTGTAGTCAATTCTAGCCCGGCACAGGTGGGAGTCATAATGCCTGCTACCAAACATTACAGTTCCAAGAATCAGAAATCCCAGCTTAAGCAAAAAACGGGTTGTTGTTTTTTTGTTTTGTTTTATTTTTTTGGTGTTTCTATGACCCAGTCCAGTACTTGGGCCATGGTGATAATTAAGAAATGCATTTTAGACTGGATGAAATGCTAGTAGCAGAGGCAAGTATATTACCTTTTCCTTATTTAATACTGGAGGCCTGGTACACAACATTCGTGCACTTGGGGAGAGGGGGTCCCTCAGCTCCCCTGTGCCCTTTCATAGTCTAGGAGCCCTCGGGGGTGTCCAACTGCCGGCTTAGACTCGCTCCCCTAAGCCATCAATTGGACATCCGCTGAGGGGTCCTTAGCACTGCCTTGGAGGCGGGAGAGGCTCCTGCCACCACTGCGCTCACCAGCTGTGAGCCTGGCTCAGGCTTCTGGCTGAGCTGTGCTCCCCCGTGGGAGCACACTGACCACCAGAGGGCAGCTCTTGCATTGAGTGTCTGCCCCCTGGTGGTCTGTGCGTGTCATAGCAACCGGTGGTTTTGCTGTTTGGGCGATTTGCATATTAGTCTTTTATTATATAGGATTTCTATTCTAGACTCTACCATTTCCTGCACTTACTGAGGAAAAAGATAGGTCATATTTTACCTAATCTACCTACCCACAAAGTAGTGCCACACATTTTCTTGTGTGTATGTGTATGGAAGGGCATATGGCATTATAAAATATTTCAATATATTTCTTCAAGAGCTATTGAAGTTAATATGAATCATTATGTATGGACAAGGACCCCATATGTTCTCCTGAACACAAGCTGCTGCTGTTTTTTAAATCTGCTTTTGGGTATTGTTATTTATCCTTTTATTTAGGCCCCATCTTCCCACTTTGACTAAAGTCCTTCAATAACAGTAATCATTTCTTATACCTCATAATCACTTCATTGCTTAATATATTATTCATTCGTTTCAAAGGATGTTTTTGTATTCTAGGCATTGTGTAACTCTGGAAAACAGGCACAAGATATGGTCCCTACCACCATGAAACAAAATCTGTAAGGAAATAAAAGAGTAAAATGTGTAAAAAAAAATGCTAACAATTAAAAATGAAAAAAAAATAGAGATCAGTGTATTAGTATCAGAGCAGGAATAAATATGTGTCAGATCTTATGAAAAGGATTCCTCCTCCCCTCATGGAACTTGCAGTCTAGTGGGGAAGACACACCTTTTGTAATTAATTAATATTAGAAATACATTCAATATGGAAGGCAATGCCTATGTGCTTTAGATGAATTATTTCATGTAATTATAAGGACTTTCCCAAAAAGAATTAAAAATCTCTAATATGTGGTTATGCAAGCCATATGAGGTTTTTTTGTTGTCACTTCTATTATTTCTCTTTTATATATGAGGAAACTAAGGATTAGTGTAGTTTGCTTTGGTAAGCCTTAGATCACATTATACTTCCTGTTAGGTCTGGTCAAATAAGTGAATCGATACCCCTCCAGCAGGAACTGACTTTTCAGGTCATTTCACTATGGACATTCCCTTTTGCTGAGACCACACTTAACTTGCTGAGCCCACATTCCCTTATTCCTCCCCTCCGGACCTGCACAGAGAATTCTCCACCCAGAAAAAGCCCACCCAAAGTCCTTTAAAAACCGCCAACTCCTGTCATTGGGTGCTGGAGCCATCCAGACTCAGCCACCTGGTATGCGGATGATTCAATAAATTCATAATCCCTCACCATTCTGGCCTCGTGTGTTCCTCCTTCGGTGACCTAACACTTCCTTCTTCAACTATTGAGGAAAGATGGTAGGTGACTTTTCATATAAGGACTTGTAGAAGAAGAAGAATGTGAAACCCAGTTGGAAACTCTCTTGTTTCTCTTGATTGTATATCTATTATACTATATTGTAACTTTTTGAGGGAAGGGACTTTATTTTACACATATTTGTACCCAGAATTCCTGGTACAAAAGAACTATTTAATTAATACACTTTTAGCCTTATCTGGTTTTGCTCCTTAAGTTAGAGTGTAGGCGCATGGACTGAAGGGTCACTGGTTTGATTCCTGTCAAGGGCAGTTACCTCAGTTGCAGGCTCAATCATAGGCCCACTCCAGGCACATGCAAGTGGCAACCAATCAATGTGAGAGACACGTTGATGTTTCTTTCTCTCTCTCTGTCTCTCCCCATCCCTTCCACTCTTTCTAAAAATCAATGAAAAAAAAATATATCCTCTGGTGAGAATTAACAACAACAAAAAATATAAATGCACTTTCAATGAATGAATGATTGAACTGGAAAACTTGCCTTCAGCAAGTTTCAATATAATTTCTTTAAAAACGGTTTAATAAAAACAGTTTATTAAAATCAATGATATTCATTAAGAGAAAGAGCACAGTGGTAATTCACATTGACACCACCTCCTCCTTGACAATCCAACAGCCAGAATGGAACACCATTTCTTTTTTTAAGCTTTATTGTTGAAAGTATTACATATTTTCAACAAGAAGGAGTTGAAAGTACTCCTTCTAGCCCGCCCCTGCCCCCAGCCCCAGGTCTTCACCACCCTATGGTCTGTGTCCATGGGTTATGCATATATGCATACAAGGTCTTTGGTTGATCTCTTCTCACCCCCCTCCCCACTCCCCCTTCCCTCTGTGATTCCTTTTTTTCTACTTGATTTTACTCACTATAGTGCTATAAAGTATTTAATAGGATTTCAGCGCTGGAAAAAAACATTTGAGAGACCATTTAGTTTAGTCTAACAACTAGCCTGGAGCCAGGTCCCTCCCTGCACATTTTTCTGGACAGACAAAAGAGGAGCATTCTATTAAATTACACCGGCAATCTTTACTTGTCTGAGAATCAGGTTTTGGACGGGACGTGAAGAAAGGAGACTAGCTGCTTCCTCCTTCCTTTCCTTCCTTTTTCCCCCCCTTACATTTCTGAATAAAGGAGAGCTAGAACTTTTCAAGATAAACTTTTCTAAGCTTTTCTCCCGAGGGGCGGGGCCGGGTTTTCTTTTCCCGGCCACGTCTATTGCCTCCCTCTCGCTGGGATTGGCTGAGCATCGGCCAGAAATACCTTGAGGGCGGAGACACTAGACCCCGGGCGGGGAGTGGATACTAGCCTCCTGGGGAGTAACTGATTGATCCTCTGGGCCTCGGCGGCAGGAAGCCTCAGACCCTCGGCCGGGCCGCAGCAGGGCACAGGTCCCCCGAGCCGCCGCCCTGCGCGATGTGGAATCCCCTTCCCGAGACCGACTCGACCTTCGTGGCCCTGCGCCGGCCGCGCTGGCTGTGCGCTGGGCGCTGCTGCTGGCGCCGGGCTCTTCGTCTGCGGCTTCCTCCTCGGTAGGGGCGCGCCCGCCACGCACACCCAGAGCTTACCCGGCCTGGACTCGCCGGCGCACCGCGATGTGGGGTCCCGGGACAGCGGTTTGGATTGGGGGAAGGTGGGGGTGAAGCCCCGCGAGCGAGGTGGGGTTCCTGGGGGCGGTGCAGCGCTGCGCTCTGGACAAGCTCTTGCAGGACAGTCACCCAGGGTAAAGGAGTAGGAGGGAGAGACCCTGAACCCGGACTTCCGAAGGGCTACCCGCTGGCGCTCTGGGAAACGGGTATGTTTTAGGGGGAGCGGCAGGTCTCAGGCAGTGGGAGCGGGTGGTCCAGGGCGCTTGGCAGAAAATGACCCTTACCTGTTCGGGGTCTGTATCTACTCCTGTGCCGGGAGCTGCTGCTGGTATGCTTTAGGTAGACACCAGGGCACTGCTGCAGGGAAGCCCGGCTCACTCTTTCTCCCGGGGGAGTAACTAATAGAGAAACAGTTGGGAACTGGCTCGCATGATTGTCAGCTCTCTGAAGAGATCTCTAGGAAGAGTTCTTTTGCGTTGTTGTGTAGGGATTTGCAGACCCGACCCAACTCCTTAAGAAAACCAGGGGCAGCACAGACAAGCTCAGACTGTTTTAAATTCTAATTTTGCCTCTGCCACATCTCAGCCTTGAACAAGTTGCCCAGTCTCTTAGCCTCAGTTTCCCGACCTATAGGATGACAATAATATCTGCAATGTATTGGGAATAGTGAATAGAATAGCATCTAAAGTTCCCAGCACACTATTGGGGTATTGGCACTTTTCTCTATTCCTTCTACTGCTTCTCATTGGACATTAACGTGCAAGACTAGCCTAAGGTGTTGCCAGGTAGTTTTGCCCGTGCTAATATATTTTTATTGATTTCAGAGAGGAAGGGAGAGGGAGAGAGAGAGAAACATCAAAGATGATAGAGACTCAACGATTGGCTGCCTCCTGCATGCCCCTTACTGGGGATCCAACCCACAATCCGGTCATGTGTCCTGACCACTGGAAACGAACTGTGACCTCCTGGTTCATAGGTGGATGTTCAACCACTGAGCCACACCAGTGGGGCCC